GGCCCTCACCTGCGTCTTGGAGTCGGGGCGCAGCCAGGGCAGGGTGCCGTTACGCCGCAGCTCGGCCAGCTTGGCGTTCAGCTTGTGGGCCAGCACGATGGTGAGGGGCATGCACTCCTCCGTCTCATCCGTGGCGTAGCCGAACATCAGGCCCTGCGGCAGAGGGAGGGGGCGATGAAGCCACGACTCCTCCTGCCGAACGGCAGCGGCTCACGCAGCACAGGGCCTCACCTGGTCCCCGGCGCCGATATCCTCCTCGCTGCGGTCCAGGTGGACGCCCTGGGCGATGTCGGGCGACTGCTGCTCCAGGGCCACCAGCACATTGCACGTCTTGTAGTCGAAGCCTGGGGCAGAGGGAAGGCTGCCGTGAGCGCGGCGCGCCGAACCCCACACCAGCAGCGAGCTGGTGACCCCCTCCCCAGCACCCACCTTTGGAGGAGTCGTCGTAACCGATGTGCTTGATGGTGTCGCGGACCACCTTCTGGTAGTCAACAGCCGCCCGGGAGGTGATCTCCCCTGCCAGCAGGATCATCCCCGTCTTTGCCACCGTTTCTGAAGGGAAGGAGGAAGACGTCATTGCCTGTGTCACGCCCCCCAGCGCTGGCGTCACCCTGTGTCCCCTGGGAGTGACTCACCGCAGGCCACCTTGGCATCGGGGTCCTGCTTCAGGTGGGCGTCCAGGACGGCATCGCTGATCTGGTCACAGATTTTATCTGGGTGGGGAGAGAGGGGGAGGCTGTCACGGCAGCACAGCACAGCCCTTCCTTCCTTCCTGAGCCACTGTCCCTCGGCACAGCCGACTCCACACTAAGCTGGGAACTGGAGCCATGGCCGAGCACAAGCCTCCCCTTAAGCCAACAGCCTCCCGTGGTGCACACAGCCCTCGCCTTGTCCCCACGCCAGGTTATTAGCCTGGAATTTCAGGCATTTACCAGTTAAGCTCCAGTTACAATCAGGTCAGAGCCCGGGCTCAGCCACCTATGGCACTGCCGAAGGGGACTGGCACCCCCTTTCTCCAGCCCCAGCTTTCCAAATCCGGAGCGTGCCAACTTCCTGGCAGCTCTGCCCCTAGCTCCGGGGAGGGGCGGATGGATGCCCAGTGCCAGCAGCCGCCCCAGAGCGTGCCCAGCCAGCTCCCACCGGATACCCAGTAACCGGGATGTTTTATTCTGGGAGAGCCCCCTCCTGCTCCCAGAGCTTCCCAAGGGCCGCTCAGGGGCTCAGCGGTGAATAAGCAATTTCCCTCGGACCACAGACGTCCTTGGCGGCGACCTTTCGGGCCGGGTTTGGGAAGAGGATGAGGCAGCGCCTCGCTGGGGCGAGGGAAGGCGGCTCCCCGCCCGCTCTCTGGGTAAAAGAGCAAGGAAAAGGACCTTAAACCCGCACACGGTTGCTAAACTCCTTTTTCCCTGTGGCAGCGCGTGATCTCAGGTACGGGGAGCCCTTCCAGCTAGGCGGGGCGGGGCGCCTCAGCGGTACCCCCAGACTGGCCGCAGGGCTTTGCTTACACCATGGGGGTGGCAGCCGAGCCGGGGCTACCCACTGCGGGGCGATGGAAACCACATCTGCAGGGCGGGAGCCGGGGAGCGGCCAGGCGGCGGGTGCTGGCAGCTGCCCTCGGGCAGAGGGAGGCAGCTGCCTGCGCAGCTTTCCA